ATTTAACTCACTTCCTCTCAGCCCGGGCTGTCATGGACCCGCCCCCTTGGGGTGATGTCATCGTGCAGCCTAGGCTCAGAGTGTCAGCATACTGAACAGTGGAGGAGAGGAAAGACCTGGGACTGGACAGGAGACCCTGATTTTTTTTTCTTTGAAGGGGGTGGTGGGGGCTTATGGAGAAGAAGGCGGCGGACAAGTGGTAACAGGATCCTGATCGTCGTCATCGCAGGAGGAGGGCGCTTTGGCAGGTAAGTGCGCCATACTGTAATAGTATACTGTGTAGGTGAATGTGTGTTGATCTTTCTTTATGATCTGAACTGTATCTGGCAATCAAAATGGAGTTGTCCTTTAACTGATCAATTGTCCTCCGGATCTCTGACGGACTCGGTCTCTTTTCCTCTGCAGGGACCCATGAGGTCACCGCTGTGAACTCCACCGGCCCCCGTTGACCTGGAATTTTCCGGCCACGATGTCCGGCATCATGACGATGCTGCAGCAATTTGCCAACGGCTTGAGAAGCCGAAATGAAGACTCTCGCACCAAGGCGGCCAAAGACCTTCAGCACTACGTCACCACTGAGCTGCGAGAAGTGAGCGTCGGGCCGGGGGAGGGGGGTGGGGGTGTCTGCTCGGCACACTTTTTCTGCTTTTCATATTATCCGGCCCTGGGACAGTAATGTGGAAAACATGTGAGCTCTCTCGGCACATCGTATTCTGTCCCACAGACAGCGGCAGATCGGAATGACAGTCTGTCTGCTCCGTGTCAGCTATGCGTGTCATTTTATGTGTTATGGGAAAAGCAGTGCAGGGTGGGGACCCAGATCAGCCAATCGGAAATCAGCTGGCCATACCAGAGAGCCAATTCTTGTTGGTTACTGAGGCCTGCGTATGTCATTGATGATTGCACTGTGTATGTTATCTTTGTATTAGTGTCCTCGGTTATTAAAGCGTTTGTCAAAGCAAAATAAACAAAAATGTGCAATACCCCTCTTCAGTAAATACATTTCACATGTTTTATCTCTTTAAAGACGCTGCAGCTGCACAAACCCACCTGTTGATGTTGCCGAAATGTATTCCGCTCCTAATCTCCTGTTGTGGGCTGACAGCACACAGCGATTTTCTGGACTTAAGTGGTGTCAGCCCCGCCTAGTTGTCTTTTGCTAAACTACTCAACCACTCCCACTATCTTCATTACCAAAGCATAGACACTGAGTGACTTGTAGTCCTGACATCAGAACTGGGAGGGCTAAATAGACTCTTTTAGATAACACAGTAAGCGTGCGGAGGACTCAGGACAGCTCTGAATTTCTGAACAAGATCAACAGATGTTTTGCACGTATGGAACATATATAACAATGCTTCCAGTCAGTGCCGCCCCCATAATGAGGCAGCCTATGGCAGTCGCCTCAGGCAACATCTCATAACAGGGGTGGCCACAGCTTCCCCGGTTGCCAAGAGCTCTTCACTACCTGTGACCCTCTGTCCGGCTTCTCGCCCAGCTCTCTGATGTCATCAGTTGCGAGGGAGCTGATTGGGGTGCTCTGGCTGGCTTCCCGCCGAGCTCCTGGCAACCAGTGATGTCATTGAGCTGGGTGGGGCCAACCCCCACTGCCGCTCTACTGCCTCAGGCGGCATATAGGGTAGGGATGGCCCTGCTTCCAGTGGTATATATAACCAGCCTATAGGGAGCACATAAGAGAAGTTGAGGTGTTACTAAACCCTCCATGAAGAAAATAAAATGTACCCCTTATGTTGGTGTTTGTTTAAAGTCCCCGTTTCGTGTTTGCAGCATAA